CAGTATTCCAAAGTGCTGGGATTACAGGCGTGAGCCACCGCGCCCAGACTGTATTTTTCTTTTATGAGAGATATGTAGATATATGAAAACACAGATTGTGAAGAATAATCAGAAAAACGACCTTCAGAAAATCAGCAACTGATTCAGGACAAATTTCGACCAATCTGTAGTAAAAATTAATGTTCCCAGTGAAGATCCTGGGGCCATATGCAATGCCAGGTATATGATTAAGTATTATAATTAGGCCAGGCAAGGTGGTTCATGCCTGTAATCCCAGCACTTTGGGAGGCCGAGGCAGGTGAATCACCTGAGGTCAGGAGTTCGAGACCAGCCTGACCAACATGGTAAAACCCCGTCTCTACTAAATATACAAAAATTAGCTAGGTGTGGTGGCATGCACCTGCATTCCCAGCTACTTGGGAGGCTGAGACAGGAGAATTGCTTGAACCTGGGAGACAGAGGTTTCAGTGACCTGAGATTGTACCACTGCACCCCAGCCTGGGTGACAGAGTGAGACTCCATCTAAAAAAAAAAATTATATTTAAGTCCAGGTGCGGTGGCTCACACCTGTAATCCCAGCACTTTCGGAGGCTGAAGTGGGCAGATCACTTGAGGTCAGGAGTTTGAGATCAGCCTGGCCAACATGGTGAAACCCCATCTGTACTAAAAATAAAAAAATTAGCTGGGTGTTTGGCACACGCTGTAGTCCCAGCTACTCGGGAGGCTGAGGCAGGAGACTCGCTTGAACCCAGGAGGGGGAGGTTGCAGTGAGCTGAAATCACGCCACTGCATTCCACTCTGGGCGACAGAGCGAGAAAAAAGAATACTTGTACAACAATGAGAGTATTCAGCTAATGAGTGACTCTTGCCCAGTTCTGTAACTTTAGAGTAACAAGCGTTGGAAGGAGAGAAGAATGGATACTGGGGAGCAATTGGCAATCTTTACGACAATACAAAACTAATGATGCATGAAAGTTAAAATGAAGTAGACATTAGGTCCACTGACAATTAGGTAATGAGTCTAAATGAATTGGAGCATCCTGTTTTACTTCCTTTTTTTTTTGTTTTGTCAAAGGAGTTTATGATCTGTGGGGATGCCCAAAGTATGTGTTGTAGGCAGTTCTGGGAAGAGTCTTGTGAGTAAAGTGACTCAGGAAACTCTGAAAATGAGGATATTAGGAATTGATGACAACACTGGTGCACAGAAAAAAAAACAGGAATTTTACAATTAAAAGTTTTTATTTAGAAATCTCTCATAACAACACATTACTTAGTATAATCAATTATAATTCAGGATTTTGGTGACTTGTACCTGTGTTATTTCTTTTTTTTTGGTTTTGAGACAGAGTCTCGCTCTGTCCCAGGCTGGAGTGCAGTGGTGGTTACTCTACTACAACCTCTGCCTCCCAGGTTCAAGCGATTCTCCTACCTCACCCTCCTGAGTAGCTGGGATTATAGGTGCCACCACACCCAGCTAATTTTTGTAGTTTTAGTAGAGACCATGTTGGTCAGGCTGGCCTCGAACTCCTGACCATAAATGATCTACTTGCCTTGGCTTCCCAAAGTTCTGGGATCACAGGCATGAGCCACCACACCTGGCCTGTTATTTCTCTTTTCTTTTTTTTTGTTTTTTGTTTTTGTTTTTGTTTTTGTTTTTTTGAGACAGAGTTTTGCTCTTCTTGCCCAGGCTGGAGTGCAATGGCGCGATCTTGGCTCACTGCAACCTCCGCCTTGTGGGTTCAAGCAATTCTTCTGCCTCAGCCTCCCAAGTAGCTGGGATTACAGACGCCCACCACCATACCCAGCTCCGGCTTATTTTTGTATTTTTAGTAGAGACGGGGTTTCACCATCTTGGTCAGGCTTGTCTCGAACTCCTGACCTCAGATGATCCACGCGCCTCGGCCTCCCAAAGTGCTGGGATTACAGGCGTAAGCCACTGTGCCTGGCCTGTTATTTCCAAACTGAACCTTTCATTACTTTCTTTAGCGAAAAAACAGGCCTGCTGCATGTACAGGAGGAAGATAGCAACGTTGCACCCTAAGGGTCCAACTGGAGACACTAATATGCAGAGATGGGGCTGTGAGATGGCCCTATTGGGTTGGAATCAGAACCAGAAGTCACACAACCTTGTTCCCTATCACAGCCCCATCAGCTCAGTTTGGGGGTAGGGCAAGTATATCCTCCTTGGATATTCACTAACTTGAAAGTTAAAAGCAGTTTTCCTGGTTTTCATGCTGGCAGTCTTTACATGCATCAAATCTTTTCTAGCCTCCCTGAGATACCTATCTTTGGAGCTGCTCACCATCAAATTCTGGAGGTACACAGCTCTAAGCTAATGGTAGGGGCAGGAAAGACATGTAGAAGGAAATAAATACTCAAACTGCCCCCCATAGAGACTGATCTTTCCTGCTGTGTCATCTTCCATGAGGATGGACAAAGATAACTTTTGTCCCAAGATAATGTATAATGTACACTCTTATCCCTTGACTCCCACCTTGGCTCCACTTTCTGCAATAACCCTCCACGCCATTCAACCCCTACTCTCAGTGAGACTCTCACTAACCACCCCCCATCTGTTTCTTCCCCTACTAGGAAACTGAGCCCAATTACCAAGTCCTGATTCGCATCCTTATCTCTCGATGTGAGACCGACCTTCTGAGTATCAGAGCTGAGTTCAAGAAGAAATTTGGGAAGTCCCTCTACTCTTCTCTCCAGGTGAAACTTGGTTACTTCTTAGCCTGGAGCCCCAGGCCTTCACTCCTCACCTCCACCCTCACTCCCTGCACAGAGATGAGTATATTCTTGCCCCATAGAAAACCCAGTAGTCAGCCGTGGCTCACACCTGTAATCCCAGCACTTTGGGAGGCTGAGGCGGACGGATCACGAGGTCATGAGTTCGAGACCAGCCTGACCAACATGGTGAAACCCAGTCTCTACTAAAAATACAAAAATTAGCCAGGCATAGTGATGCACACCTGTAATCCCAGCTACTCAGGAGGCTGAGGCAGGAGAGTCACTTGAACCCAAAAGGTGGAGGTTGCGGTGAGCCGAGATCGTGCCACTGCACTCCACCCTGGGCGACAGGGCGAGACTCTGTCTTAAAAAAAAAAAAGAAAAGAAAAGAAAACCCAGAAAAGAAAAGAAATGCAGCGCAGGACTCTGAGCTCCAGGAAGGACCCTTCCCTTCCAGATGAACTATGATGGACCAACCCAAAGGACGGGAAAGAGTACTTGGGCCATAGTAGTGGTGGATCTTTCTAACACTGAATTCCCTTGTCTGCAGGATGCAGTGAAAGGGGATTGCCAGTCAGCCCTCCTGGCCTTGTGCAGGGCTGAAGACATGTGAGACTTCCCTGCCCCACCCCACATGACATCCGAGGATCTGAGATTTCCGTGTTTGGCTGAACGTGGGAGACCAGCTGGGCCTCCAAGTAGGGTAACCCCTCACTGAGCACCACATGCTGTAGCTTCTTGAGGTTGAAACTGTTTCTTTAAAATCCTTTAATTTTCCTCATCTCAAAATTATATCTGTACCTGGGTCATCCAGCTCCTTCTTGGGTGTGGGGAAATGAGTTTTCTTTGATAGTTTCTGCCTCACTCATCCCTCCTGTACCCTGGCCAGAACATCTCACTGATACTTGAATTCTTTTGGCAAACTTCACTGTTGTTTGTGTTCCCTGATTGAAGTTTGGGTGGAGCAGGACATGGACCTGGAAGAGGCGTTGGAGTTGAAGGTGCCTTTGATGTGCACTTGGCTATTCAGCAGGAATCCTGTTTTGCCTTAGAGCTACAGTAATCAACTCCCACCCTCTCTATGTCTCCCCTCACCCTCATTCTCCAGGAAACTTCAGGCAAAATAATTGAGACACAGGCACCAGAACAAGGTGAGAAATGGTCAGGGGGAGCAAAGGACCATCTGTATGAACTGGGAAGCAAGCGGAGGGTCAAACTACCCTTCCCAGCTGGGAATTATTGGGTTAGTGGAGAGTACAACCCTCAAATGCATGTGTCCAACTAGAGATTTGGAAACCCATCTCCCATGAGAGCACTATTTCCTATAGAAAACAAAAACAAAAACAGAAACAAAAACAGTCAGGCTTTGGTTCCCCCTGCCGGCTATATTAGAAATGACAGGTAGCTGGGCGCAGTGGCTCACGCATGT